GGTGGGTGGGTGGCGGTGGGTGGTGGGTGGTCGTTGGTTCGAGGCGGTGAGGGGGGGTAACGGGGTGGGAGTATTGGGGCGGTGGTACTGGGTGGCTGGGGAGGCAAAGGCGCTCGTCGGCATCTATCGACCCACTCTCGTTCCTGCCATACAGAGTCCACAGCCCCTGGAATTACGCTACCGAATCGACTCGCGTATTTTTACTATTTATTTACGATAAACGCGTGTTCACCACCTTTTTATTGGAAAAAATATCACCCAGCTACCAAATTTTCGGCTTTTTTCACGGTTTTTTTTCTCTGTCGATTATTCCATTTTTTTTTAAACTCAAATTCTATTGGGATTTGATATTTGGTGCACCTGGAGGAATACCCAATGCAAATCGATTTTTCGTTACTTTTTTTGTAATTGTTGAGGGAAATATGACGGGAAATTTTCTGGAATTCTTATGGAATTTTTATCTGTTCCGGGTCTTTCCCGGGATTTTTTTGTCGCTATTAGATTTATTTATGAATATTCCGTGGGCATTGAAAATTTGAAATCTTGAGTTTTGAATGACAATCCATTTTAGGTTTTACTGAAAGTCAAAAGGGATTTGACAATTAATATTTATTCGCTTATAAACTCAAAGGATTGAATAAACTTTCTGTTATAATTCTGTAATTTAACTGAATGTTCAAGAAATAATTCGATTCCTCACAAAAAAATAAAAATCTCTACCCTTTTCTCATATTTTATATCACATTTCCATACACCATTCGACATCAAATCATATTTAAGACCCAAATCCTTTAATCTTAGGTAAAAAATAAAAAAACAATTCAGCATAAATTAATAACTAAAGCTGATCGATGCAAAGCTGTTAAGGACGTTACAGTACTAATTGCTCCGTTATTCCAGTGCACAATATATTTCTCCTATCCTGTGACCTCGTTCGTAGGATTTAGTGAGGTAAATAACGGACAATCCTTTTTTTAGTCAAAGAATTTATTTGCCTCGGATATATGAGATAAACGAGAGTTATTTCTTTAGTGTTGAAGTATTCGTACAATCCCCCGCATTTTACTCTCAATAATTCCAAACGATTGTGTCAATTGCATTAATTTCATAATCCCAAATAAAAAATTCATAAATGAATATTTAAAACTTTACCAAATCGCGCCAATCAAAATAATTCAGTTCAATTAATTCCCTTTTGTCTAACAAATCTCCATAATCTCTGATTTTCTTCATTAATCAATTATACAATAAATCTTGACTTAATTCTTCAATTTTTCTATAAAAATATGCATTGAATGATAATAACAATAAACAGTAAATTATTGCTATTCAGGGAATAAATCTAGAATATAATTAATGTACAAACGGAAATATTTATATTGCAATTTAAAAAAAGGACTAAATTATTGAGGCGAGAGGGAATTTTATTGTTTATTATAAACATTTTTATCTCGTGGAAAAATTCGAGAAGTGTATACATCCGTCCTAGGAAATAGACAGACGAAGGATTATAACCAGACATAAAAAACTAAACCACCGATTCCCGAGATTTTTATTAACATTTTAATTATCGCAGTTTCTCCGACAATCATCCGAAAGATTACAGCAGAGTATTAGATTTATGTACGTGTATATAATCCCTTTAGTTATTGGAGCTGTCGCACGTCCTTCTTCCACTACGTTATGTCTTCTTTATTTTTAACCCCATATGCATAATAATAATAATATTGCACGTGTTCTCGGACTCCAGAGGCTTTTTTATCGCCTCTATATGACCTCGTTATCATTTTCTTATTCTCTATTCGTAATAGAAATTACGCCAATCAGTGGATAATTATTTTCTCTGATAAAATCACATCTTTCATGCATCTTTTGTTGTAAAAACAATTCTTCATAGACATTAATTAAAAATATATTATTCAAATAGATAATTGTATTAATTTTTCATGTTAATTAATTTATATTTAATTACGCAATTGATGAAATATTTTTCCATTAAACCCAAATAATTTAGGAGAACCTACAACAATTTATTTTAAATAATATAATTGATTACATCAATTCCATCAATAAATTGATAACTAAATTATCGGAATTATGGATCGATTAATGAGGATTTAATTGAATATTTCGATTGGATCGATAAAAATCCACTGGATTTTTTATTTTCAGATTAATTCCTCTCGCTATAAATCGGCAGATGAGTTCCAAGATTTCAATTAGATTTAATCAATTACTTAAACAATTTGGCAAGTGAGATAAAAGTCGAAAGACTGGCAACAGGCTAGGTCATTCGTTCCCAGAAAGAGCGGACGTAAAATCGAGGGAAAATAACGCTAAATTTAATCTGTCATGACTGGGCAAAGTATTATTTAATTATTCAAAGGATTATTTAATTACTAGAGATAAACACGCGCTACGCGTGTATATTCTTACTTTTATGGTGCTAC